ACATGAGATTCCACGACAGCTCAGGCAGCTGGGGGTAGGGGTAAGTTTAAACAATATGGCCTCCGGTAATGCAAGTAAAAATGTTTCTAAATGAATGGTAACAAAGCATTGTGAAAATTTCCTTATTATTACTTACTACTCATTGTTGAGAGCCACTGAAGTGCTACATTTTGAAATGTATGTATAAAAATCAGTTCAGTCTTTAACAAACAATCTGCAGCTTCTACAAGCAGAGGGATTAGGGAAAGGAAAAACTGAAACCCAAGGGAGAACGATTGGTTCATTTATTTTCAGTGTCTTTTGCTTCCTTCTTACCTAAACTCCCATGTCAGGGATGTAGCAGCACCCTCCACAATTCCCAGGAGTCTCTGAATGCCTGCATGTGGTATCCTGTCCAACGGCAATTTAACTGTCAGGATATATCATCATCAAGTCCTTCTGCAAGTTGCCCGACTTACCATTATGGCACCATGAATGGCTTTATCAGGATGGCACAGTCTTAAATCACTTCAATCCAAGAGAGAATAGGAGAGCTGTTTCAAAGGCTCACACAGTGGTTGCATTAAGGTGTGTGGATAAAACACAATGGCCATGAAGGTATTTTGTGAGAAAAGCCAGTCATCACTTTGATTTGCCTTCCATTTCCTGCCCATATTATTTTTCCAATTGCAGGATAACCTTTATAGCTAATCTAAGGATTTGTTAGCATGACTCCCAGAGGCTTCTGGGAAAGTGACCCCTCTCCTGGCTCTGCAGTACTAAGTTTAAGAATATACTTGGATCAGGATGCAGCAGGCTGCCTGCACCAAGAATGATGAATGGGGACTATTCATACTTAGGTTTACTGTATTGTGTTGTAGTGCCTCCTATATTATATTCAGTGTTGTATTGAGAGGTTGAACATACAAATAACAATGACCAGAACATATATAAAAACAGAACGCTGACCTACGACCTGCAACAACCTGCCCAGGAAATCAACCAACCCAGGAAGCCAGCCTGCTGTAAGTTAGACCTGCAGGAAGTCAGACTGCTATCTCTAGTGATGGTCCAGGAAGTCAGACAATAACCCCAGTAACAACTGGCCCCAAATGACCAGGATTTGATTAATGACAGACAGTTTTCCTAATATTTGTCCCCAATCTGCCCACAGTTTCCTCATGTCCACCGTTTCCAATCAGGGCGTACCTGAAGCTTTATCTTTTTTCCACCCTTCTGCTTGCCTTTGAGTATCTGCCAAAATGCAAGTGACAGGTGCTGGCTCCCTTGCTGTAGAAGCTCTGAATAAACAGCCTTTGCTTGTTCTCATTTGGTTGGCCTTTGTTTATTTCCACTATGAAGCTGAGTTTAAGGAGGTGCTTCCGGTGTCAAAGAAGTGGTTCCCAGCACATCCCCAGGCTACTCTACTGAGAGAACTGATCCAGTCTTAAGTATTTAATTCTAGATGTAAAGAGAAAGACTATTAACTCTCCAGAAAGACTATTATAATTCTCACTTGGGTCTTACCATCTGTAACTACATACCCAGTGGTCAGGATTTCAGAAGCTGGAATCTCCATCTGGCCTGAATGATGTTGCTGACCTCTGTGATATGTATCATGACTGTGCTGACTTCTTTTTATATCCTTGAGATAATTAAAACCTGCTTGATCTATCCAAGGAGCATGTGTCTGGTCTTTGTATCAGTCGGAGCTTACAACTGACTTGGTCAAAACAATGGTCATGCACACCCCATATCTCAGACTCGGTAGGTAAGAGTTACATATTTTGGAAGTGAATATAAAGATTTTTGTTTTCTGTCCCAGGCTAGAATTTATAAATAAATGACTGATTATGGTAGTATTTCTTAACCTAGGGCCAGGTACCATTTAGGGGAGAAAGGGCAATACATGCAGAGACAGCAGCATAAGAAAGGCAAGGAGGCAGGAACATTAGAGAGCAATGCTGTGCATCTCCTGGGCCTCCAAAATATACCATATGGTTTACATCTAACTTCAAATGCACAATTGCAGCTTCTATAAGCAGAGGGATTAGGGGAAGGAAAAACTGAAGCAAACACCTTTGCCCTGAGGGAAGCCTTTTTAAGACCATTTATTTCTGAGTTCTCTTGAACTAAGGGGACAAGCAAATCTATGCAGACTCCTCTGAATTCCCAAGATATCCCATTTGAATGTTGTTCTCCTTCATTCCCACTGCACAAGGACCACAATCACATTTGACTCTAAGTGGAAACTTGACACAGTCCAGATGTCCATTTTCAATCATTTGAGACCTAAATATGTCAACAAATATTTTTAGAGGGAACATTAGGTAAAACAATCATTTGCTAAATATGAATGTCTAATTCTCTCTATGCATTGCCAATTCCCTCTTTGGTATTAATCACGGTTGCTAATATTCATGTCCCCATCTACCATAGTGTTCCCAATCTGTCAGTTTGTGATACATCCTTTAGGTAGCAGCAATTCTTTTTTTAACCTTAAGATTTTTCTATCTTCTATCCATATGCACCGTAGAAAATGAGAGACAAAAAGAAGGAAGGAAAGAAAGGAGGAGGAAAGAAGGGAGGTCACGATTAGTACCAACACCACGATTAATATTTCAGTATAAAGATTTCCAATCTTGTTGTTATGCAATCGCAACATACATACCATTTCATAACTTTCTTTACTCAATAATATGTTGACATTTCTCTACATCATTAAACACTCCACAATGTAATAGTTTATGACAGGAGAACATTTTAATGTTTGGGTAGTCCACACAATGTCTCCTACTGTTAATAATTCATTGTTTCCTATTTTACATTATTATAAGGAATGCTACCATTAACATCCTTAACTAAATCTTTCCCTGCATGCACAATGATTTCCACATGAAAAAATATGTAGAAATTGAATTTATGGATCAAAAAGCTAAACACATCTTTATGACTTTTGATCTCTGTATCAAAGAGCCCTCTAGAAGGTTGTAAGAATTTATACTCCCTCTGGCAGTGCATGAATGTGTTCATTTTTCCATATCCTCTTTGTATGAATATTATACTTAAAGAGGTCATTTTCCCCCTCTTGGTCCCTTTTGACTTTCTTCCTCTTGCCAACTGTTAACACAATAATGCTCCAGAGTTTTGCTAAAAGATAGGTTTATTTGTCTTGTCCACATTTCACCACAATGCATCCCAAGGACCGGTGATACAGAATCTGAAGAATGTGACTGTCAGCCTTTCCAGGATAGATCAGACACCTTGGGGGAAAAAGCTGAGTTTAAAAAAAAGCCAGAAAAAAGTCTGAGGGCTGGGGTTGGGGTGGGGGTAACAATGAGAAAAATGAAAATTGATCCTTGTGTGTTCATCTGGGAAAGACTCTTAAGTACAGTGACTGTAGGTGATTAAATGAGAAAAGTAAATCAGTGTTTTGTACCATCTTCTGGATACAATGTCTAGCCTAGACTTTATCCCTGAACTCCAGACTTACATATTTAACAACCTATTTTGAGATTTACACTTGTTTTGCTATTTCTCTTATAACCACTACCACCAACATACACTCCATTAGAAAAACCTATTCATCCTCCAAAATATATGTTGATTTGGTCCCACTTTTCTCCATATTACTGCCATTACTGCCATTTCTCATTTGACTATAGATATTTTTTTTAAGATTTTATTTGACAGAGAGCAAGCAAGTGTGCACAAGCAGGGGGAGCAGCAGAGGGAGAGGGAAAAGCAGACTCCCCACTGAGCAGAAAGTCCATCACGGAACTTGACCCCAGGACCCTGAGATCGTGACCTGAGCCAAAGGCAGATGCTTAACCGAATGAGCCACCCAGGCGTCCCATGACTATAGATTCTTAATTTTTCTCCTGGTTCCTACAGTCCATTCTGTACACAGCAGCCAGGGAATGATAGTCACATGGTGTCATCTTCCAAATTAAAATAACTTAATAGCTTTCTATGACTCTTAGAATAAAATCACAACTCCTTAAGTTGCTTACAAGCCTTCACTCATGAGTGAGATCCTGTCTACCTCTCCAACACCACTAGATACTATTTTCTCTAATCCCCCGCACACTGCACCAACCACACTGGCACTGTTTCTACTTCTACAGCATGCTGAGTTCTTTTTCACATTAGAACTTATGTTTTTGCTCATCTACCTCTTGATCACGCATGGGCAGTACTTTTCATCCATCATGTCCCACTTCAGAAAGAGCCTCCCTGACTACCTTACTAATGTTGGCTTCGACCATCAACCCATTTACTTCACACCACACAACCCTATTTTTTCCCTTTGTTAGAAAACCAAAACAACTTTGTCTCCTTGGTCATTGTCTTCTTCTCTAGAATGTCATCTCTAAGAGTCCAATAACTTATTTTGCACGGACCCACTGTATCTATAGCACCTAGGAGAATGCCTAGCACATTGGTGACACTCAAAAAACAGTTTCATGAGTAAATAAATGGAAGATATATTCAAAATCAACTAAAATCATATTTTCTTTGTTGTAACAGATTTTCCCATATGCACATTTATGGTATAACCAAGGAGTTACTTGATTTTTAAATACTTTTTAATTTGATGAAAAGGAGTATGGCATTGTTTGAATAGTCTAAAATCTATTTAATCATTGTGTCATTGGAAATTTAGTTTTTACCATTTTTCATTATTATAAGCAATATTACCATATATAAACTTGAAACTAACATATAATTATTTAATTTCTTATTAAAGTGGCTTTTCTAGATCAAAATCTTTTTATATGTTTCATGAAATTTTCTTGTGAAAATACTAAACCAATTGATTCTCCATCAGCAGTGAACCGAAGTTCTTATGTTCATACAGTATATCAGATTTCATTCAGCCAAAAGGAAAAGAAAGCCTAATGGAAAGTAGTTAATATGGGAAAATATCTCATTTAACAAAGGACCAATGGTAGAGCAGTTTTCAGGATTGCTTGATTAAATGTCTTACAATGTCATTCTTCTTTCTACTTTGCCCTCAGGCTGACTTCCCCTCAGGATTACAAAACATCTGAAGCAGTTCTAGGCTAAACATCCCAGCAAGACCATAACCAGAGGTAAAAATGGATCATATCCCCTGGAGTCTCCTTCCTAGAATGAGAAAATCTTTCCCAGAAGCCCAATAGTAGACTGCCTTCAGTTCTCATTTTCTGGAAATGGTTGACATGCCCTCTCCTAAATGAGTCACTGATAAGGAGAATGGAACTACCAGGAAGAGTAATAGTAATAGCTAAGTCCTAAACCAGTCTGGATTTTACCCTACAGTAAACATGAGGGTTCTGCCAGTAAGGAAGAAGTTGAAATGGGGTGGATCTTTATAGGCAATCAATAGTATCTGATAATACTGAATATTAAAATTAAAAAAATTTTTGATAATTTGATGAAAAGCTATTAACACTGCATTTATTAGACTACTAAACTGCATTAACATTTTCTCTTACATTCTGCTATCTTTTTAACTCCTTTAGGAGGTCTCAACCCTTCTTGGTGGCAGAAAAAAAAAAAAGAAAGGAAACACTGACAGGCTATAGGATGACATCATTACATCTCAAATTAGTTTACAAAAATCCACCTCTTCAGAGAATTCCCTCTATAATACCAAGTCCATAAGTTTCATCCAAGCACAACAACTACTCAGTAGAACAGGGGAGACAATATGAATCCACAAAACATACATTATTTGTACTAACCACATCAACATTAGCAGGAGAATCAATAGGGCTGCAGCTCCCCAGAAGATTCTTTTTTTTTTTTTTAAGATTTTATTTATTTATTTGACAGAGAAATATAGCGAGAGCAGGAACACAAGCAGGGGGAGTGGGAGAGGGAGAAGCAGGCTTCCTGCCGAGAAGGGAGCCCGATGCGGGACTCAATCCCAGGACCCTGGGATCATGACCTGAACCGAAGGCAGATGCTTAACGACTGAGCCACCCAGGTGCCCATCCCAAAAAGATTCTTAAGTTTTACTGACAACCCAAGACTACCCCGTTGTAATTTCATATTATCATCTGTGTTCCAGAGCTCTCCCAAACTCGTCCCCAGACCTTCCTTTAAGGTAGAACAAGTTGGATTACACCTAGCTTCAGCTCCAGTTACTCTTTGACTTGTTTTGTTATGGGTTTTCTATACCATTAATTTAGGGAATATCTGATGCCACTGAGCGTGGAACCTAACACAGTTTATTCTTGTTGGACCATCAGCTTTATTAATTTGAACTCCAACAATAAACGCTCGGCAATTTCTCCTCATCTTTACTCATTTTCCTCCAACATTTCAATTTTAGTTACTAATTAAATACATTTTAATTATACTAACAAAATAATACTTTTCCTTCACGTAAAAAATATTTCCCTTTGAACAATAACACCTAACATGTTCATTGAACAGTTACTGGGTTGTTCAACAACTGCTTATTGATATATGAACTATTTATATGTTAAAAATATTGATTATGTGTCATATAGGTTACCAAGTCTTTTTCTTTGTTTTTCAAACTTGAAAATGTAATACCTATAGATCTATAATCAGTCTTATTTCTTTATGTTTTCTGCTTTGGGTGACATGATTAGAAAGACTTCCCAATCTGAGATCAAGTATATCCACTCATTTTTTTCAAGGATCTGAGCCTTTTGATTTTATAATAACTGTCAGACTTTATTTATGTATATAAGTATATATTTAACTAATGAAAATCTTTCAAATACCAACAAGACAATTATTTGGGGCAATGCATTAAAGTTGACATGATAAATGACATGTTCATGCAGGACACTGTCCTATTGAATGCGTTCTTCTCTTTCACATTTATTTGCTCTCCGTGGATGACATCATCCTCACTCACAGGCATTACATCCACAGCAATAACCACCAAATCCAGATTTCAGGCCAACATGTAAAGAAATTCTCCCAGCCCATGGTAGGAGAAAATCAGAATCAGGAAGAAAGAATTGAGGCCCGGGGCAAAAGTACTTAGAGGAAAGGTGAACGTTGTGTTGGTTCTATCATTCAGAAGCAAGGGGTCAGCTCCATTTCATTAATTTTCTGTTTGCTCTGGCCAAGGTCAAAGTGATTCTAGGTATAATCTGTCATGGCAAGAAACATGGATACTATTTAGAACCAGAAGTAAAGAACTGTAGGGGAGACTGAAGAAGGAAAATATTCATGGCTTTTTCTCAAAATGTGTATTGGTAGTGAAATCAGGAACCAAGGCTCTCATAACAGCTATAGAGTACATACCTACTTAACTGTCACAATTACAGTTCATAGACTGAAAAGGAGGGAAAGGTGTTCAAGAATCATTTCCCTAAGTATGTCTTAAATATCCACTTTTTATTTAGAGACTGGTACACTGCTGCTATTTAAAGAAAAACTACCCTCTATTCGAAATCAAAACCTGAAAATCAAAAATAGATCAATTGGGCTTAATTTTCCAGAGACAAATCAATGAAGTTCCTAAAATATTCTTACACATTACTCTGAGGGTTTTCTTAGAAATTGATTTAAAAGTGAGAGAATTCAGGACACTGGTGTTTAGGGCTGTTTGTTTTTACTGAATTATTGACTAAACTGGTTTAATCTTCCATGTGTTCTGTAAGGGGAGGCACAATGAAGGGAAATTGTCACTGACTACTGAAGGTTAAGAAAATAGATACCTCAAACCAGTTGAAAAGGCTTGACCAAGCACATATAGCTAGAAAGGGCAGAATTAGAACTGGAAATCAGATTTTCAGATTTTAATTTTGACATTGTTTCTACTCTGCTGCTCCTTTTACTATAAAATTCTTGTTTTCTAGGATTTTTTACTAAAACTAAATGACAACAGATTTAAAACAATTTCAATGAATTGCTGATATTTGAACACGAAGAAGATAAGGTTGAGGAAATGAGGAAAATCACAGAAGGAACAAGTAGTCATCATACTGTTTCATTTAATCAGTATGGCTTTGAGCCAGAGAGAGGAGGAGGGCCCCTGTAAAAAGCTGACGTATGACACCCAAAAGTCTAGAAATTGCTATCCCAGAGTTAAAAAACAGACTTCTAACCATTTTCTTAGAGGACAGCATGCAGTGGGTTATGAAGCTCAACAGAAGAACATGGGCTCTGTCAAGAAGCTGACCTGGGTTCAAATCTGGACTCTGCCCCTAACTCATTGTGTGGCCTTTTTTTTTTTTTTTTTTTTTTTAGATAAGTATCTAAGCCATACTTTTCTCATTTAGATAATGGAGAAAAATAAAGCAGCCACTTCATGGGGTTGCCAAGGATTAAATGTAGTAATATATGCAAAGCATTTAGCACAGTGCCAGGCATAAGGTAAACACAGTAACAATCCCTTGCTGTGGTTTTGTCAGAATAAGGAGCGAAGATAGTTCCAAGAGGTCCAGGAAAGACCCAGTTCCAGAACCTGGAATCTTACTTTTATCCATTTCCTTGATCTTGGATCAGAGAGTAAACCTTGAGATTCTATCCATGGTGATCACAAAATTGGGAGGCAGAGGGAGGTCTGACTCAAATCTGCTGTGTAATCTTGAAGCAGCAATTTAATCTCTCTGAGTTTCATTCCTTACATGTGAGTTGAGGATACCAATAAGATTTCAGCAACTTGTTCTGAGGGCTAAATAAAATAGATGCGTAAGAGATGGTATTTTCACATAAAAAGCCTGTGTAGACCCAAAACCCCACACAGTGTGAGTTATAGTTACCACTCCACCGGCAGACACAAGAAGTGGTATGTAGACCCAAAACCCCACACAGTGTGATTTATGGTTACTCACCCCTCCACCAGCAGACACAGAAGTGGTATGTAGACCCAAAACCCCACACAGTGTGAGTTATGGTTACTCACCCCTCCACCAGCAGACACAGAAGTGGTATTTACCATCAGCGGCGTCCCTACCCTGTCCTTCCCATTTCTCAAGGCTCATTTTCCTAACACCTGTCTCCTCTCCCCAGGGCAATGGTGGGCACCCCTATTCTGACCAAATCATGTTTGTTCATTGGACATAATTACTCAGGATTATGAAATGTCATGGCGGTTCCTGCTTTATGCACTAACCAGACCATTAACAGCTACTGAGCTAAGCACCAGCTCACAATCCATAAACTCCTCAAGGTTGTAAGAGCCACTTCTCTTCCTCTTTGCAATCCTGGCACAGTCTAACATTTGGAAATTAAGTCCAGAAATGGTAGGTTGGGTCAGGCTATGGGAAGCCTTCTGTCATAAGCAAGAATCTGGATTTTTCTTTAGTGAGTGATAAACAGTAACTGAAAGCTGTTAAGCATAGGATTGACAGTTATTTTTGTGTACTAGAAAAATCACTTTGGAAGCTGTTGTAGAAGTTAGCAGGAGGCTTGGCCTGGAGGTATGACCTGTGTAAACAATGTCATCAAGAAAAGGGGAAATATGCTAAGAATTCTGCCTAAAAGACAAGGCAAGTATTAAAAATAACCTTTCAAATATTTCCATCAATATCCTTAACATTCCAATTTAATTATGTTCCATTACATAATACCTAATTAGAGAACACAGAGAAAAGGAAAAAAATTAATTATCTACCCTACACTACCCAGAAATAAATGCTATTAACATTTTGGAGTACATGAATCTTTTCAGACTTTTAATGTGTGTGTTGTATGTATGAAGAGGGAGAAGGACAGAGAGGAAGAGAAACCTGACATAAAAAGAAGGAAAAACACTATAATGTGTCAAGAAGAGGACGAGCTAGAGATGAAGGTAATATATATGAGGAAGCATTCTTATGGGGGGGTGGTGTCAACAGACAGCGTCTACAGTTGATACTTATGGGGAGCGGGCCTGGCAATGGAAGTGGAGTATGCGGTAGCCTTTATTTTTGTTTCCTTTGTGTGCTTTTATGTATCTTTTTTCTGGCTTTATTGAGACACAATTCACATATAATATTGAGTAAGTTTCAGATATATAATGCAATGATTTATATATATTTATATATATCACAAAATGATTACCACAATAGAGTTAGTTAACATGTCCATTACCTCATATAGTTACAATTTGTGTGTGTGTGTGTGTGTGTGTAAAGACAACTTTTAAAATCTACTCTCCAAAAAAGAAAAAGAAGAAGATAGCAGGAAGGGAAGAATGAAGGGGAGTAAGTCGGAGGGGGAGACAAACCATGACAGACGATGGACTCTGAAAAACAAACTGAGGGTTCTAGAGGGGAAGGGGTGGGGGAATGGGTTAGCCTGGTGATGGGTATTAAAGAGGGCATGTTCTGCGTGGAGCACTGGGTGTTATACACAAACAATGAATCATGGAACACTACATCCAAAACTAATGATGTAATGTATGGTGATTAACATAACAATAAAAAATTTTAAAAAATAAAATAAAATAAAATCTACTCTCCAATTTAACTATAGTCACCATGCATGCTACATGTTACCTCTCCAGAACTTATGCATCTTAGAACCGAAAGTTTGTACCCTTTGACCACCTTCACCCTTTTCCCCCACCCCTACCAATCACCAATCTACTCTGTTTCTAGAATGTTCCATATATATATACATATACATACACACACACACACACACACACACACACACACATTTATTCATTCATCCATCAATGGACACTTAGGTTGTTTCCGTGTCTTGACTACTGTAAATAATGTTGCAATAAACATAAGGGTGCAGATATCTCTTCGAGAAAGTGAGTTCACTTCCATTGGATATATACCCAGAAATGGAATTGCTGGATCATACTGTAGTTCTATTTTTAATTTTTTGAGGAACCTCTATACTGTTTTCCATAGTGGCTATACGAATTTACATTCCCACCAACAGTGTACAAGAGTTCCCTCTTCTCCACATCCTCTTCATACTTTTGTCTTTTTAATGACAGCCATTCTAATAGATGAGACGTGATATCTCATTGTGGTTTTGATTTGCATTTCCCTATTAATTAGTGATGCTCACTACCTTTTCATGCACCCACTGAATATCTTCTTTTGGAAAAATGTCTATTCAGGTCCTTTGTCTATTTTTTAAAATTGATTTTTTTGGCTATTAAATTGTATGAGTTCCTTATATATTTTGGATATTAATTACTTATCCGATATGTGGTTTGCAAATATATTCTCCCATTCTGCAAGTTGTCTTTTCATTTTGTTGATTGTTTCCTTTTTAGTCCCACTAGTTTATTTTTGCTTTTGTTACTTATGCTTTGGGTGTCATATCTAGAAAAAGCGTTGCCAAGACCAATTTCAATGAGCTTTTTCCTTCTAGAAGTTAAAAAAAAACAAAGCCCACAGGGAGAGAAATTATTAGTAATTCCACAGACTACAAAAGGACTCATTACAGGTTGTTTTTAGTTTGCCCCCACTATATTTAAGATGTTTTTTCATTATGTAAAAGCTAAATTATATGCAACCTATTCAGAAATATTCTATTACCTAAAGCAAGATACCCTAGAATTTGTACAGCTATTTTTTTTTTTTTTTTTTCAAAATGCAACACTAGAAAGTTAATCTAGGGCGCCTGGGTGGCTCAGTTGGTTAAGCGACTGCCTTCGGCTCAGGTCATGATCCTGGAGTCCGGGGATTGAGTCCCACATTGGGCTCCCTGCTCAGCAGGGAGTCTGCTTCTCCCTCTGACCCTCTTCCCTCTCATGCTCTCTATCTCTCATTCTCTCTCTCTCAAATAAATAAATAAATAATCTTAAAAAAAAAAAAAGAAAGAAAGGTAATCTACCTTTTCCTGGCCACAGGGAGAGCCATTCTTAGGCATACTATTCCTTAACCCCTCAGAATGGAGGCATATTCACAAATAAGAGCTTATCCAAAGTAACAATTTGGAGCCAAGAATGTAAGTCAAAATATTTAGCAATTCTGTGTTTGTGTTCTTTATTAATACATATTGTTCCTATTAAGACTTCCCTTTTGCAGACTGAAGAATGAGCTGCTTGTTCATGCATGATTCTCCATATGGCATAAAGAACTATGTTCAAGGGGTAAAATTAAGCCATCTGTGGTGGTGTTGATCTTCTTCTTTTAAATTGGTCCTTTTAATGGTAAACCCTTAATATATAAACATATTTCACCTTCACTGGATTTCTTCATCACAACCAAAACTGTGTGTAATCTGTACTGGATGCATAGTCCTTCTTATTTTTTACTTGTTGATGGATTTTGATGACCACACAGTCATTTCTCCTTCAAAAGCAAAATGCAATAGTAAATATCATAAATTCTACATCTATCTCTTTCCACAAGAAAGCTGAAAATGCCATTGCATGCTTTTACATGTTTTTTCTTCCAAATGGTTTCTGTTAAGTCTTGGAAATGAACAACAAAAGATGGAATTATTAATTCATCATTCACCACCAACGTGATGAAGTTGTCGCTGCGCTGGGAAATACTTAAGGGAACATATGCATACAAGGCCATGTTGTTAAATAAAGACACTCAGAGAACTAACACAAAGTAGATATTTAATAAAAATACATGTTGAATGAATGAATGGATAAACACATGAAGTAGAACTGAGGTTCCTGAATCTAGCTTTTGATTGCCTTCATTTTTGAGAAAAATGTGTTTTTTGGACATTTCAAAATGTTGGACTATTATAGTGTATCTGTGGGACAATTACAAGAGGTATAACATTCACCTAAAGGGAATAGCAGAAAGGGAAGAAACGTGAAAGGAAAAACAGAAGATAGGTTTGAAGTAATGATGGCTGAGAATTTTTCAAAATTAATGACAGACACCAAACCACAGATCCAGGAGGCTCAGAAAACACTAAGAAAGATAAATACACACACAAAAAAAAACCTGTATCTTGGTATAATATATTAAAACTATAGAAAATCAAAGACAATGACAAAGTCCTGAAAGAAGCCAGAGGACAAGACCCATCCTACCTGTAGAGAAGGATAAGAATTATATTGAACTACTCTTCAGAAACCATGCAAGAAAGATGAGAGTAGAGTGAAATATTTAGTGTTAAAAAAAAAAAAACCCACCAATCTAGAATTCTGTATTCAGAGAAATTATCCTTCAAAAGTGAAGGAGAAATAAAGACTTTCTTAGATAAAAAGATATTGAGAGAATTTGTCAAGTTAAAAGAAGTTCTTCAGAGAGAAGAAAAATGACACAGGTCAGAAACTCAGATCTACATAAAGTACAAGCCTTAGAAAAGTAATAAATGAGAGTAAAATCTTTTATCTTTCTTATTCTTATTTGATCTAACAGATAACAGTTTGTTCAATAAAATAATAGCAAAAGTGATTTAGATGATTATCACTTATAGGTAAATGAAATGAATAACAGCAACGCTATATGGGACAGGAGAAAGGAATTGGGAATACACTGTTATGAGGTATTTGAAGCAGTATAAAAACAGAATTTGTCACAAGCAGACCTGCCATATAAGAAATATTAAAGGGAGTCCTTTTTAGGCTGAAATGAAGATACTAGACAGTAACTCAAATTCACATGAAGAAACAAAGAGCACTAGTAAATACAACTAAATGTAAAAACATTATAGGTAAATGTAAAATCAGTATAAATGTATTTTAAATTTGGAACTATTTTTTTATATCTCCTACCTGATTTTAAAAACAACTGCATAAAGGAATGATTATAATCAGTGCTGATGGGCAGATAATATATAGAGATATAATATGTATGACAGTAACAGCACAAAGAAGGAAGTAGGGGTGAAAATATAGAAGAGCAAAGTTTTTGTACCCTACTATAATTGTTTTTACTTTGAGCTATATTGTTTTAAGGCAAGATTTTAATTGTAATCCCTAGGAAACCCAACAAAAATAAAACTCAAAAAACAAAGATAATAAAAAACGATAGCTAATTAAAATGGTAAATCATATCTATTTAATACAAAAGAAGGCAATAATGGAGGAACAGGGGAACAAAAGGACATAAGACATATAGAAAAAAAAGAAAAATGCAGATATAAATCATTCCTTATCAGTAATTACATTAATGTAAACTGACTAATATGTCCAACTAAAAGGCAGAGATTGGAAGAATGGATTTTATTTTAAAAAAGCATAACCCAATCCTATACTGTCTATATACAAGACACACACATTAGATTCAAAGACATAAATAACTTGAAAGGAAAAGGATGGGAAATGATACACCACACAAATGGTGTGTGAAAGAAAACTGGAATGGCTATACTAATGTCAGGAAAAAAAACAGACTTTAAGACAAAATTTGTTACTAGAGAAAAAGAAGGATATTTTACAATGATAAAAGGACTGATTCATCAAAAAGATATAACAATTATAAACATATATGCCCCTATCAACAAAGCCCCAAAATACATGAGGCAAAAACTGACAGAATTAAAAGAAAATGACAACAATAGTTGAAGAATTCAACATCCCACTTTATTTTTTTTTAAAGATTTATTTGAGAGAGAG